TGCCATTGTCATTTTCGAGAAAGTTCCGAGAGTACATATCGATGAACTTCCGATAAATCTTTTATATCGGTACTTTCCGACTAGTTTCCAACAAATTATGTAGATTCTCGGTAAATTATCAGAAATTCATCGCAAACTTTCCGATAACAAAGATTCTCGGAAACTTTTGTCGGAGGGTACATACTTTTCTTGTAGTGTACGTACATGCCATATTTAGATATAGATGTCACATGCGAATGCATGTATATATATGTACACGTTTGTATGATGTATCGAAAGAGTCAAGTCAAACTTCGTTTTCGTCTTTGGACTCTTGGGTTAAACAAGATTAAAGACATTATAACCGCTGTCAAGACTCAAGAGTAAATTAATAAAGGTGTCCTCGTAACTACTTTCACTACTAGCCAACCAACATTTTCTAAAAGGAAATTAATACGATGGCATATTTGTTTTATTTTAAATGTTGGAGGATCTAGATAGAGGCCAACAGTTGGTTAATTACAATATCACAGCCAAAATTGCAAATATGCTAGTATAACTTATAGACTGGACTACCGAAATCGGCTATCAATTGCTCCTCTAGTTTTTTTTTCTAATCGAGTATATTGACCCCACCGAAGTGATCCAGATTAGAGATCGAATCGAGTAAGGACACTGTCAGGACGTCACCATGTGGTTCACCTATAACAGTCTTCGATCTCGGATGCTGCAGCCCATATGTAAATTCCTCAGTGACCACGACTCGAACCCAAGGACCCTCTAGTTAATAATATAATTATTGGTATATCTTATCATTGTAGTATACATACATTTTCAGTTCAATTCTATCAATATTATTTGTTAATATCTCAAGAGATGTTCCTTATCGAGGTGAGAAATTTGATTTCTTTTTTTGAAGATACAAATTTCATTGTTTTGTGTTGTTATATTCCATTTTTGAGTTCGGTTTCACGTACATCATTTAAAGGACACAGACAAATGAAACTACTCTTAGTCCAACTATCATTTCCTAATATAATATAGATGCATGTAGGGATATAATAAGAAAAATCCCTTTATTTGACGAACCATGAGGAACCCATTCATATGGTAGTTCAATGTTTTAAAATGACTACCCTCTACATTAAAGAGAGAGAGTCATGTCATCACATTGCGATCAATCATATGGTACATGGCCACATACCTGAGAGATTTCTCTGGAGTACTCCGGTTGAACCTTTCAATCATATAAAAATAACAATTTCTTACAAAAAATAGAAATACTTAACTTTTACAAGGATTCTCCTACTTTTTACCTGTGTTAAGTGCATAAATTTTTATCTCTTCATAGATAAAAATGAAAAAGGCCATCTCTCACACAAACTTTTAATATTGTTATATTCCTCAACTAACTTAAGGTACTTATTTTACATTTAAAAAACGTGAATAAAATCTTAAAGAACCAAAATAATGCTGTCCCTTTTCAGCCACAAAAAGAAAAGACTTGTTAAAATTCCAAATAACCTCATAGCTCAGGACTTAGAGTCTAGCTGAGCGGAGGTGCTGCTTAATCAACGGTCGTATGTATTCATGGTAGCCATCAGGGACCACCGAGTCATTGAGTGGATCTTTCAATGCTTCCTCAAACAGCTTTGGGTAAACGTTTCCATCATAGCGGCCCAGCACAGAGCCAAGATAGTGGTCCGTGTAGTCAAATGCGTCCACGAGAGCGATTGCATTTGGTCGAAGCTGAGAGTAGAGTGACCGAAGCTGCTGGCTAGCGAGTGAAGCTTGTTCAGAAGTGATGGTGTTTGTGCTTAGAAAATCCCCAAGGTGTTTGTGAATGAGATGGAGTGCATATATGTAGCATAGATTCTTGAGCTGATTCTTCACTCCTTTTCCTTTAATCTCCCCGTTTATTTTGTCTATAAACCTGTAAATTTCAACTAGTTAGGGTTTCACTTCTCTAACAACCAGGGGAAGTAGGCTTTTCTTGTCATTCAAGGCATCTACATTGATTGAAATTATAATGGAAAGACTCTAACTATTGTCCCTCTAAACTTTCACAGTGAAGTTTTTAACCACTGGATAACTAATCAAGATTTGGTGAAGAAGCTTAGTACTTACTTGGAGACAACAATCAACTGGCAATGTGCAATAGCAGCCTCAACAAGATCAGCTAATAGTTCAGAGAATCCTTGTTCTTGATTCTCAAACTTGCTTAGATTGTTAGCACAAGAAACAGCCATTCTCAAAGCCCTTGCTTCAAAAGCCTCCAACACCATAGCAGGGTTTAACCAATCCTCAGCTGCATTCTCAACCAAGATAACAAATCAAGAAAAATATGATAAAACTCACGGTAAATTCCTGGAATACTCACCCTTTCTAATGCTTGAGTGACATTGCAAAAGATGTTTTGCTCTGCCCATATATGCAGTTGTTCCAGCAGGAGCCTTTCCAGAACCCAACTGTGAAACTATCTTCATCAAAAATCTAGCAACCTGTAAACATAACAAATTTTAATATAATTGCATTTGCTAATATCAACTATTTGAAATAGCTATCGAGTATTATTCTATAAAATGAGAACAAAAAACATAAGAATACCTGTAATTGCAACACAACATTGTCTCCCTCATATGTGCAAGCAGGAACATATACAGCAAACAGCTCAGGAAGGCCACTGCACCACAAGTAGCCATGTCCACCACATAGCTTCCGACATTCTTCAATACCATCCTACAACCAACAAAAAAAGCACCATTTTAAAAATATGATTTTCTTCTTTTTAATAAGTGAAAAGTGTCAACAAAGTCAAAAGCATACAGATGTTGCTGAGGTAGTCATAGACTTCAATCCTGCAGTGCACGCATGAGCTTCAGGCAACGTTGCGAAATCACTAGCCTCTAGCCTTTGTGTTACATCAGTGTATAACCATTTGAGCCACTCTCCTACAAACCTAAATGCATATGCAGATGCTAACAAAGGAAACAACCTATTCTGTTGAGTTTTATAATCAATCACCTGCCCATATACAACAACATCAACAAGTGGTTTTATCAGGGCTGGTCCTTGGAATAAGCAAGTGAAAAGCATTAGCCTATGCCCCAAAATTTAAGAAATACTTTACATAAACATAGATTCCCAAATTTATAATTTTTTTTTTGTCTCATATTAAATTGTTTAAAACTTTCAAAATCTCAGTGCTGGTCCTGATTTATAATCATGAGCATCTTCAATCATAGTAAACAACTTTGTCATAATGTTATCTACTGAGGAATCAACAGAGAGTAGAGTACCTGTGTCTCAATTCCACCATTCTGTGAGCCAAACTGCCTTCTCACTGCACTGTACCTTGTAGCTATGCACACTGCTCTCGCCATGGCAATGGAAGCATTTGACACAATAGTCTGTCTCACAGACACCATAGTACCATACATCAGTTGCCTTGGAACATCTGATGGTACATATTTTCCTTCTCTTGTCACCTTTGCCAGTCTGAGAGGAGACAAAAAAAAAGCAGAAACATGAATCAGTTTCTTTATATAGATATGAACTATTCACACAAGGCAAAAGAGAGAGAGGAGAGAACCTCATGAGCATTTGATCTCTAGGAATACAAAACTTATCAAACATAAGAAAACCATTGTCCATTGAGTTATATGCTCCGTTTCCAAACTTCACCCCTATATCACCAATGGTTATTCCAGGAAGAGGAGAATGATCATCCAAATTACGTAGTTGCACGATGAATCCTGAATAAAATAGGAAAAAGATTTAGCAATTATAATAAAAAATAAAAAACAAGAAACTCCTTATGATGCTTACCATGGACACCATGGTCTTTGCCATTGGTTATAAGACGAGCATAAACCACAGCATGAGTAGAAACTTTTCCCAAACCACCAGGCCACCACTATTTCAACACACAAACCAAAGTTAAACCACAAGTGAAAGACTCTGTCTGAGATCAAAAAGATTGTTTTGTTCTCTTGTTTTGCTTTACTTTGGATGATGTTTGAGTTGGACTGTGCATGATAAACTGGTCTGTCTGAGGATCAAAAGTAGCCGTTGTCTCAAGGCCTTGAACGTTAGAGCCATGACCAAGCTCAGTTTGAGCGTAACAACCGATTATCTGCATCTTGTTGGCAAGAGACAACCACTTTTGTTTCTGTTCCTCTGTCCCTTGTCCTTTGATTGCAGGCACAAACATTCTCTGAACACACACAACCATTTTGACAATCAACCAAACTCAAAGATCTGAGCATTCAAAACAAACAAAGAAACTGTGGAGTGTCTGTGTGTGTGTTTTACCCAATGAAGATCCATGAAGCCAGGTTGATCCATGAAAGATCTCAACATGAGTGACTCCTCATCAGAGAGAGGAAGCTCGTTGATCAACTTCCAAGCATGAACGCTTTTCCTCAACGTGTTCTTGAACAACTCTTTCCTTGTCATTACAGCTCTGTTGCTTTTCTCAAAGACCTAACATGTCAACAACCCAAAAGCTTCACCACAACACACACACAAACACGAACACACACAGAGGATGTATGAAGGAGGAGACACTAACCGGATCACTGGCGACGAGGCGGGACATCCTATTTGAAACCTCAAAAGCTTGCCTGGAACCGGCCCAGACGATCTTCATGTCGTTGACCTCGAACTCTGCTTTGTTTCTTTCATGGGCAAGGTGATCATGTTCCTCCATCGTTTAGCTGTTGTTAGATTTAGACTGTAGTGGAGAATGAATCAAAGGTCAGAGAGAGAAGCCATGTAATAGAGAATTAAAAACTTCACTTGCGGCTTTTTAATAGGACAATTCCGTTACATACCAGAAACAGAGGATTTTTTTTTTTTCTTAAGACAAAAAAGAATGATATCCATAGAAGTAGGAGGTGCATTAATTAGTACAGTAGTTGGGTCCACTCATTTTGTAATCTTTTGAATTAAAAAGGATTTTTAATGTAAAAAAACCCTCAATTAAGTTTATTTCGAGTAAAAATCTCTTAATTAAAGATTTAACGCATAAACCTCTCCAGTTATATTTTTTTAATAAATCAACCCCTCCTTTAACAGTCCCGTTAACATCTGTATTTGTCGTTAAGCATAATACGTAGCATTTCATTTATGACCAAAAGAATCACTGTTTTTTGTATCTCTTCTTCATCTCTGTTTTTTGTTGGTGATATTGGGTCAAAACATAATTTTGTAATTTGTTTGTAGAGATGTGTTAGTTGTTCTTCAAAATGAAACATCAAAATTGGAATTATATATTTAAATTAAATTATTAGAGTACACAAACAAAATTTTTTAATATAATCATGGTTCCCTGCTAAAGAAGAGTAACATAGTTTACTGTAAAATATGAACTTAGCTTTCCAGAGTGAGTCTTTTGACTTTTGTCTTTTGATTTTGAAAACAAAAACTCATGTTCTCTCTCCCGACTTTCTCACCCTCTCTCGAATTTGGGTGTTTCACCCGACTCTCTCACCCTCTCTTGAACTATACCTCACTTGAATTAGGGTTCATAGCTTACAAAGTGTCGACAATTTAAGGAATTTAGAAGGCATGGATTTTTTTTAATAGAAGAAAGGCTAACTCCACGACGTTTACAGAAAACAACATGTTGTTTATTAACAAATTTTGTGGTTTTAGGAACTAATTAAAAACACAGCGTTTAATAGTGATGGGACTGTTAATAGAGGGATCAATTCATTAAAAACATAACATGAGGAGTTTATGTATTAAATCTTTAATTGAAGGGTTTTTATCCAAAAGAAACTTAATTGAATGTTTTTTCATTAAAAATCCAATTATAATCGTTAAAAATAGAAACTTAGATCTCTATTTTAAACACTTCGTGTTGGACTTGTTTAGAGAAGTGAAATCTATCCATTAGATGCATAAATTATCCAAATGCCCATGGAAATGGAAAATAGCAAAAATGTATCTTTTTAATATAAAATGGATGAAATTACCCTTATTTTTACACTAAACAGAATCGTCGGTCTTACCAAGCGTGTCAGACTGCAAGTGTAAAGAAATTTGGTGGAGAGTGTTCTGAGGAGTAGGCCTGCAGGTAGGGGCGATGCAGGCGAAGGTCCGTTGGGTAAAGAAGAGTTTCGTACTTCTTATGCTAACAAAACTCGTATCAGATAAGAATTCATGTATCAGATAATAAACCATTTAGCCAAGAACATATTAACTCACAAACTATTTATCAATCAATTTATCAGTTAACAAACCAATTTACAAATCATTTAGAAGCTGATAAACAATTGATAAAATCCTTTATCAGTTACAAATATCATGTACTAATTAGCGACAAGTTTTTGGTACACCATACAAACCATTTATCAAATTTTTATAACAAACTATGTATCAGTTAACCAAACATGTTTCTGGTAAAACATCATTTATCAAATAACTAAACTATTTGTTAATAGATTAGTTACAACGCTAATATCATTATTATCTGATAATATGGTATTTAACGAGTAAATAAATTATGGTTGTGCTAAATGATAAAGTGAGAAATGAGCATTACAATGATTTATAAAGATATAAAGTGGGAATGGGAGATCAATGTGGACTTGTTTCATATCAATTCTTTGGTAACAAACTATGTATCAGTTAACCAAACATGTTTTTGATAAAACATCATTTATCAGATAAAATTTTGGGGCTTATTGATATTTCATAAAAAGATCAAGATTTAAATGATATCATCAAAATTTTAATGTTTTATCTTTTTTTTTTAAATAAATTTTTTCTCCAAATAAAATAACTATGTTATCATCGTTAATCTTTCGCTGATATTTTATTCCTTATCTCATTCTTGTCACCGATATACCAAAATGTTAGCATATATAATTTTTAATAGCTGATAACACATATAAATACTGGTAACATTGCGTATGAACAAATGTCTTATGTAGTTGAAAATAGAATTTTAACCTTGAATATTAGATACTATAAATGATATTAGCGTCTAAATTTACTATTAAACAATAATAGCTAGGCTCATCCCTTCACTCATCTCTTTGAGTTAACAGTTAACATGCTTAGATGTATGCTACACACAAAAAAATGCTAGTGGTCAACAAAATTCTTCAAATTTTCACAATAATATAACAAGAAATTACTAATGTTATTTGTTAATAGACAAGCTACAAACGCTAATACTATTATTATCTTATAACATGGTATATAACAACCTTCACATTATCTCTCGATGAAAATCTGATCAATAAATGATGTCATTGACGGCCAAGACATGAACTTTATCTTAACACAATGGCGGAGGTTCCATTCCTCCAATGCGGATACTCATCCTCTACGATCTTTGAACTAGAAACGCCATCACCGTCTCTGGCCAAAAATAAGCAATAGTAACTAATGGAAGAGTATACAAACATGACAATAGAGAAAAGAAAGAGAGCTCATACCTGTTTTATTTTCTTCTCCTCCTCCTTCAAAAGCACTTGGTGAGTTTCTCTACAACCGCCGACATATTTTATGAAGGGACTAGGTCATTTTTGGGATTTAGATGAATTTAAGATGGAAATTGTGGAACGAAACAACAATTGAAGGCTTAAAGAACAATTGAGAGAGAAGAACAAAATAGGATCGTTGGGGAAATTTGAATTGCAACTCTTTGATGCTCAAAATTGAAACAAAGATACAAAACTCACACTATTTCGTATGCTTTTGGAGAAATGTAGAGACATTTCATTGACCGATGTGTAAAGGATAACTCCACTGACACAAAAAGGAGAGTGTCTGAACCATAGGAGACTATAGCTAGTAGGGATAAAAAGGTCAGCAATTATGGTTTCTGAATTGAAAGTATGATACAAATTAAAAGTCTCTTTAGGTGCACTAACACTAATTACTCTATTTTGTTTAGCATATCATCCATACATTCTATTTTGTTAGGCAATCTAGAAAAAATAAAAAGTATTAAAAACTGACTAAAAATCAAATTTAAAATGAGATGAGTTTTAAATCTTGACCGCAATTTTGATTTTCCAGATGTAAATTATTTCTATTAATAGAGTATTTCTAAAAATTTACTTGCTTACAAATTAAGAAACATATTTGGATATAATATTACATAACCTGAAACAATCTTAAATTGTTTGTCCTTCATAAGTATCACCACATAATACATCATGGACTTTTGATATCTTGATAATTTATCTATTAGAATAAAATTAAGACTAAAAACTCCATTTCGTTTAGGAAAGATACAACTCTCAAAACTAATAGAATTCATATTTTTTTTATAAATAAAAACTTTATTCATAACGAAGAAAAAAAACTAATAAAATTCATTTTAAAAACACAGCTTTTAAACTAATACATTTCAGTTTTTTTATATTAAAATATAGAATTTTAAACATTAACTGAGTTTTATATTATTAATTTTTCCTTTATAATGAGTACACACTCTTTTCTTGAACAACGAGAAAATACACTCTTAAAACCTATTTTAACTACTTGTTAAACTAACTTATTTTTGTATAATGAAAATATAAAATTTTTAAAACTAATAGAGTTTAATTTATTTATTTTAAAAAGACACCATTTTTCTTATAATGAAAAGATACAATTTTTAAACTAATATATTTCAGTTTTTTTATGAAAAGATACAACCTTTAAACATTAAATGAAATTCTTATTATTATAAATATATATATATATATATATATATATTTACAATGAAAAGATACAACTATTAAAACTAATAGAGTTCATTTTTAATGAAATAAATAATTTTATTTGTAATGAATACAACTCTTGAAACCATAGAGTTCATTTTCTTTTATGAAATGCATAACTTTTTAACAATGAAAAGACACAAAATTTTAAAACTAATACATTTCAGTTAATTTATTATGAAATGACATAATTTTCAACATTAATTGAGTTTTCTTTTATTAATTTATCTTTTATAATGAGAAGAGACAACTTAAAAATTTATTTTAACTATTTATTAAACTATTTTTTATAATAAAGGATACAACTCTTAAAGGGATTTTTGTAAATTTGACTCAAAACTCAAAGTCAAACACAAAACTAACCTTTCTTGTTTTTTGACTTTTCGTTTGTCTTATTCACCCCATCTGTTCATATTATTTACAAAAATGCCATTACATTTTTTTTTTTTGAAAATTGTTTTTTTACTCTCTCAACCTCATCATCTTCTAGTATTTACAAGATTGTCATTGTCATCAATACCCTAACTACCATGAACAACCAATTTGAAGCTCTTAATGCACATAAAATCGATTTACACTCTCTCTTTCTCAATTGTTATGAACTAAAACCAACATCTCTTTCACTTTGTCTCCATATTCATACAAAAAATCCAAGCTTTTGATTCAAATTTTTTTATGGTTGATAGAGCCATTTAAGCATACAATTCTTGGTGGGTTACTTTCATTTGATATTCTAGGTGGTTGGAGAAGACTTTCTGTGCTAATAAGGTCATCTCACCTAGTTTAAGGTATGAAATTGATTTTTTTTCCAGATCTGTTCGCGTAGAAAACTTACTCATAAGTCTTCTGGATGAGCTGGACGACTTATTTCTAAGTCTTCCAGCTTTGTATGTTAAAAAAAAAAATCTGGACGACTTATATGTAAGTCGTCTAGGAAAAACGGGCTAGTTTTGTATTTGACCAATTGTGTCAGATATTTGACTTTTCCTGGACAACTTACCAGTAAGTCGTCTCCGGAAAAGTTAAAATTTCAATATTTTATTTAATATAAACGACTTACAGATAAG